CCTCATTTAAGTAAGTGTATTATTCAAATTGAGATATCTCACTAAAATAGTTATTGATAGAAATTCCGCACTCTGTTATAATATAAGCGACACAAATTATAGTATAAGATATTGCATTGAGTAGTATCTTCCTCTATGGCGTACTCATGAAGGTTATATGTGATAAACAACATTACCGCATAAAAATAAATTTATAAAAGTTATGCACGAAGACCTCATACAGTGCAGGTAATCCAGTTAGCCATAAATAAATAAAAATTACTTCAGTGAACTTAAGTGTTAGTGAATAACAATAACACATATGATTCGAAGATAATTACTATTTATTTGATTTTGTCTAATGAGCTCCGTGTCTTTGTGACGAGATTATCAAATACATATATCAACAAAATAAATATATTTTAAAATTGTTACAATAGCACTTAAGAGTGATGGATTATACACTATTATAGACTTTAAAATAAGAAACATAAAATACAGTGCTCAGCGTTATGTAGGTAACATACACAGATCTGAAAAATTATAATGAATAATATTAACACAGATTCCCTTAGAGTGTAAGGTGATAGAACAGCATAAATAAATAAACAGATTACAGCCTTAGAAAGGAACAAATAGCACTAGAACATACGGATCAACGACTACAGCAGCCTTAAGGAGGAACAAACAAGCACTAATTCAACTACAATATACACAACACTTATCGAAGCGAACAACAACACACAGAACAACTAAATCACAAACTACAACACAACATAACCACACCACACACCCATAGCGACAAGACACACTCACTACAAACATACTACATGCAATACAAACATCAAACAACTAACAAGCATCACAAGCTCCATCATGCAAGGCGAACTTCATCAGTCTCACACTTAACATTCGGACTCGAAATTACGTCACTTCTAGCGTCAGATGCAAACATTCAAACACCCACATCAACTAATACAAACACTTAAACACACAACAATCCATTCACAAGCCCTCGTAGATGCTTAAGGAGGACAGCACACAAATACGAATACTAATACAAACATAGCTGCAAATCACACGCATCTACATCAATCGAGCAGAACACCAAATGAGCATACAAATAAACTAAGCGACTCAAGCAGGCGCCTCTAGGCAGCGAAACAACAAATAGCAACTAATAGACTAAACAAAATCTCAACAACGCACACATACTCACACCACGAGAGACAAACACCCACAATAAGATAAATACACCACATACTAGCAACATACCAGACACCCCTCTACGACCAGCGAAAGACACCAACACGTACCGACGACTCAACAGCTTACCACACCACCCACCAAGTACCAGCCACCCATCCTCACGACAGAAGACGAACAAAACAAACTACAGAACTCACGTAACATAATCACCATAACCAGTCCATTTAGTGGATAAGGTGAACATATAAATAAGATAATAAAATAAATAAATAAAATATCAGACTTATAAGGTAAGTGAAACAATATAATGCTATGGATAAAATTAGTATGATAAGATAACAGGCCTTTAGGAGGAATCAAATAGATTAATATAGATAGAAATCATACCAGCCTTTAGGTCTAATTAAGGACAATAATCAGGCATAAATATAATAATTATAATTATACATTAAACCTTAGGAGGAACTCACAATAGTATTTAATATAAGTAAAATACAGCCTAAAGGTATGGATATATAACAAATACCAGATTAAATTAAGATTGTGAATAACATACACGCTACTATTATACTATATACTCTCATAGTGCAAGGATACAAATTAAGTAAATATATATAATAAATAAAATACAGCCTATAGGTAGGGAACAAATGATGATTTATAAATACCTCCAAAGTATACTAAAAATACAAGCAACTTAGGAGGAACATAAATAGATAAATAAATAAGATATACAGCTAATCTTATAGGATGGAACAATATATGGATAATAATAATTATAATTAAAATACAGCCTTTTAGTATCGGAATACATAATAGATTAATATAAATATATAATATATCAGTACTCATAATCTATATAGTAGAGTGAAATACATAATTAAATAAATATATAAAAATTACAGCGTACTTTATGAGTGAAGTAACATATAACTAATTAATATAAATAATAATACATTATATCAGCCTACTTTAATGAATGTATATATTCATAAATTAAAATTATAAAATATATAAAAAATATATACTACAGAGCCTGTTATATATATAGGATGGAACAAATAGATACAATTATATTGATAAAATACAGCTAGCTTTAATAGGGAAATAAGATACAAATAGATAAATATAATATAAAATATCAGCTTTACCTATGGAGGAATCAAATAGAAAAGATAATAAAATAAATATAATTTTTATCAATGACCTACTTATTAAGACGGTAAATCAAATTTAAGAATAAGATAAATGTAATAAATACAGTCACTTAGGAGTGGTAAACAAATAGATATAAATAATTATAAATATAACCCGCCTTTATTAATTAAGGAGTGAATACAAATATTAACTAAAATAAATTAAAATCACAGCCTTAGTGGCAAATGGATAAACAAATAAGATATAATAAAAATATAATAATACAGGCCTTATATATGAAACTCATAATATAGATAATAATAAATAAAATACTCAGGCTTTTAGGAGCAACTATAAATATAGAATAATAAATAATAAAATAAAATACAAGTCACTTATGAAGAGGAACAATAGATATAAAATAAATGATAATTAATACTAGTACCATGTAGGTATGTGAATAATCATAATAATAGAGATAAATATATCTAAAAATACTGCACTTATATCACGAAGGAAACGATAATAGGTTACCCCTAGAAATAATAATAATAAATCATAAGCCTTATGAGAGCGATACTATCAAATAGTATAAAATAAATATACATAAATTGTCAAGAGCCATTATGGAGAGAAACAAAGAGATATAAATAAATAAAATATAACAGTCCTTATTAATAAGCAATACAAAATTTAGATAAATTTATATAACTTAATACAATGAATCACAAGCTTTAGAGAACAAATAGTAAAAAAATAAAATAAACAATACAAAGCCTTTAGTGATAGTGAACATATCAAATAGATTAAATTAAGAATGATAAATCACAGCCTAACTTATAGTAAGAGGTAATAACAAATAAGGATTAAAATAAATAAAAATTACAGCCTTAGCGAGGTGACACAAATATAATGATAGATAATATATAATAAAATATAAACAGCCTTAGAAGAAAACAAATATAAAGATAAATGATCAATGAATTACAGCCCTTAGGAAGGACAGCAAATAGATAACATGAAATAAAATACCAGCCTTCCCCTAGGAGGCAACAAAGTAGAGATAAATTATAATAAAATACTCAATGACCTTAGGAGGAACACAATATACGATAGTGAATATACAGAGAATAAATTACAAGTCACGATACTATATAGGCAAGTATAAGACAATAAGATAGGAAAACCATAAATAGAAATCCAACCAGAAATACTAAGTGCCTTAGGTATAGATAAGTGAGAACAAAACATAATAAATAAATAAAATATACAGAACCTATCACTAAAGTAGTAAGATAACAAATAATTAACTGAATTAAAATTAACATACATTAACTAGAACTATCACGCCCTAATATAGGAGAGATAAAACAATATAAGGATAAAATAACATATAAATAACAGCTACTAAGAAGAACAATAGACATAAATAAAATTAAAATATACTAGGCTACTTTAGGAGGACAATACATAAGATAAACTAGATTAAAAATTATAAGTCTATACAATATACTTAGGAGGATAATATCAAATAGCTATAAATAGTTAAAATATTACTACTACTTATAGAGTATGTGAAAACAAATAGATTAATTATTAAATATACTATGAGTTCCTTAGGAGGAACAAATAGATAAATAAATAAAATACAGCCTNTTAGCAGAGTTCGAGGTTATTTATCCTAGTTGCTTTGCTAATCATCTGGATTAAATTCCTATTTTCTATTAGTCTGCTCATTTTGTTATTAGGTTCTAATCGATTATCATTGAAATCCCCTACTCTTATAAATGTTTTGTCACGGAGGCAAATATTTTCAAAACAATCTGAAATACAGTGATAATGGATTGAAACTTTCTACACTGTAAAGGAATCCAAATGACCTCAGCTCTATCTACTTTATTGATTACTGGATTGATTACCGTTGCCTTAAAATCATCCTTGATATACACACACACTCCTTCTCTGCTCCAAGGTCCTGGCGATGAATAGTGAAAAATGATATATGGACGAAGGAGTCGCTAATACCAGGGAGGAGCCACGTTTCACTTGTGCTTGAGTTATCAATGTCCTTTTCCTTGATTAACATTTCTATTTGATTTATGGCAAAGGACGTATTGAGCATTTATATGAGCTATGTTAGCAAGGGCCCTTTCTCTTTTTTATCATCGACACTAACTTCTTGGTCATAATCCTATTTGTGGCAATAATTGTGGCATAGTTGACTTTTGTGGCCATACCATGTGGCAAGATGTACATTTGATTTTGTGGTCGAATCTGCAGGGTGACTGGCTGTGGTTGAATTTGCCACATATATATATATATATATATATATATATATATATATATATATATATATATATATATATATATGTATGTGTGTGTGTGTGTGTGTGTGTGTGTGTGTGTGTGTGTGTGTGTGTGTGTGTGTGTGTGTGTGTGTGTGTGTACACATAATCATACATAATCATACACATACACACACATATATCTATCTATACATATATACATATATACATACATATACATGTATACATAAATATTTGCATTTATGTATTTGGATACATAAAATAAAAATTAAAATAATACCAACGCTAAAAAAATGTATCCGTTTTCTTTAAAAGCTCACTGTTCCTAGATGGCGCGTCTCGCAGAAATCGGAGAGATCCTTTGTTTAAAAAAGCTATAAATAGCCCGAGAAACCGTTAGTAGTTAGACACCAATCGAAGATGAGGTCGAATACGTTCTTTGTTTTGGTGGGTGCCATTCTTTTTGCCCCTCTTTTTGTCAAGTTTAGTGTGATATGTTGTAGGGGGTTAATTTAATTTGATTTACAAGTGAATTCGAGTGAATAGTGCTTGATTGTGAATAGGAAATTTAATGTACACGTGCATCGGTATGTTATTCCTGAAGGATAAATTGTTATAAGTTATATTAGCTAGTAATTAATGGGCCACTATTATATGGCATTTACGGCTCGGGTAATTAAAAAAATAATTTAAAAACTTTAAAAGAGACTGCCCTGGCAGTTTCTTTAACTTTAGTGATTTTCATAACTCCTTTCAACTGTAATAAGTTTACAGTTGAACTTAACCTTAAAGGATATAGGTTTGTCTTGTCTATAAAGTAGACAATGAATACAGGTTACATGTATTAACCTAGTATAAACAGCATGTGCTTGTGTAATTGAGAATTATTTTGAAAATTTGTTATTTCAGCTGGTCCTGGGAGTAGCCCTTGCTGCAGCCAGGTTAGTAAGCCTTAAAGTTGACAATATTACCAATTAAGCAAGAAGCCTACTTTATGTTGAATAAAACTGATTGATTCTTTTCTCAGGGACTTGCGAGCTAAACGCCGTGTTACTACAGATTTCCATGATTACTCGAAGATGTGTGAAGCTCAGCCTGACAAATTCATATGCGTCGACTGCAAGACCATGGTCCAGTGTGTGAAGGGACAGGCCTTCACTCGCCACTGCATCGAGAACCACTACTGTTCAAAGAAGCCCGAGTTTGGCGGTGGAGTCTGCTACCCAGATGAGCCTCAGGCCTGCAAATGCGAGAAGGCCAACTCCTTCCGAGTGGACCCCTACGACCCTCAGAAGTTCTTCTCTTGCAAGAACCTTGTAACCCCCCCAGTGAACTACAAATGCCCAGATGGCATGGTATTCGACGAAGCCTCTGCCAGTGCCAGACAGGAAATGGCCTGCCCCAATGTACTAGGCTGGTACTTTTGCCAACCCGGCTAACTGCAGTGTATACTACTCGTGCATTGGCCTTCAAATGGCTGGCTGCAGAAGAGCTTCCAGTGCAACAGTGGCTTGATGTACAACAAGGAAAAGGGAGCATGTGAAGACCCTTGCCTGTACCAGTTCGTGTGCAAGCAGGAGGGCCGATATCCTGACCTCCTGAACCAGCAGAACTACTTTGAATGCTACATGTTGGGTGGCAAGTTACGGCAGCTCCGTTACAGCTGCCCTGAAGGCTACAGGTGGGATGAGATCTCTGTAGGTGTTGGCCAGTGTGTGGAGGACCATGACAAAAATGCTTCCAAGGGTGCCTTCTTTGGCTGCGACATTCCTGACGGCTTCTGTCCAGGTTAGTATTTTTATTAATAAGTAAAGCCTTGATGTAAAATATGGGATACAGGGGAGGATTGGTACATGCTACTTGCTACTCGTTATTGACCTATCCTATTTCTTTCCTCAGGTACTTAAGAGTAAGGTTACTACAGTGAGGGCGACCCTGTTGTAACTACCAAGTGGAGTAGGGCCTCTACTTCGATGTGTCTCGAATAAATTCTAATTACTTTTTGTCGACTTTTTTATAACCCATGTTGGTTAACGGCTTAAACTTTAAACATAAATGCCTTCCACAATAAGTTTACAACAAAGTACACTAAAACTTATTACATACAACAAATTTAATCAGTGTTTCCAAAACTGCCTTACAAGGGGACATGCCCAATTACCCCAAATGGCCTTGCATAAGGCCTCGACTTCATTTCGGAACCACTCCATTGTTTGGGGTGGGGGAGGTCACTGAATGGAAGAAACGATATGCCTTGAAGGAAATTTGAGCTGAAATTATACTCAACCCATGAGTATGATGTTAGTTTCTAATACTTTCCCTATCTGGACACGATCGTTCCCGTCTCGTTAGTTTTATCTGGAAAAAAAAACTATAGCATTATTAAATGATTTCTCTGGCAACCCCATTCCTGCAGAACCTCATTCAACTCGATACTTGTACCGGAACTGCCTCCATCACCAGCAAACTGCCCTATAGATACCAGAGATAGGTCAGATTGTGAGGAGTACTTGCTAGTCTGCCTCAGAGACCGCGATGTGATATCAGTTACTTCATTCCTCCAAAAGGTCACTGAAAGGACCCCAACATTATTTTCAAAAGTACTTTCAGTAGACATGACCTTCCCTTTCATACCAACATTGGTAGACAATCCCTTCCTGTTCGACCATACCAACCTCCTCCGTCAGTGTAAAACCTGTTGGCATTTTGGATTTTCTGCCAAAATATCCTTCCAGACCGATTCCCCTTTTGTGCCCAACCAGGTCATATCCAAACTGCTCTGCACAATCATGCACATGCTAACTGCGGTGTTCCCCTGTAATGTATCTTATAAGAGGCTCTCCCTACCTATAAGTTTGAATCTCGGGTG